AGTATCGATAAGTGCAACAAACTTATATACAAAAATAGATACAATTTGCACTTATCAGTTCCCCACCTGCTCCTCGACTGGGGACACATGGACAAATGACCTTAAGGACCAGCCCTGGACGACATCACCATTCCTTCCCTGAATGACATCTCTGCCTGTGGCTGACCCACCGTCGGGCACGACCCAAAAGTGTTGGCCCAATCCATTAGGGCCAGTAGGACACACACACACCTCCCGTGTTCCCTTCTCATATGGACCCGTGGCTATCTGATCCCTCGCATCCTACTCTACTGACTGTGTCCCCTTCTGCTTGTTGCAGCGGGTGGTTCACTCTATGACCGTTACAAAGGCTAATTCACGTTGTACCTGTGGGACAGGGGGGGGGGGGGGAGGGCTCGTCCCCCAGGATGGCAAGAACGAGTTACTCGTCCTTCATTCTCATCCCTCCTGCTACTCTGTCGGAAAAAGGAGCACATCCTTCACGACGACGAGTATGAGCTGCCCAATCCGCTCCTGTGCCCAGGACGAACCAAAAGCTTTGGCCCAATCAGTTGGGACTAGAAAAGGGAAACAATTTTCCCTCCTGCCCTTCCCTCGAGGACATATCTTCACCAGGCCAGAGGACCAACGAACTATTGTTGTCCTTGGCCAGGCCTCCACCTACACCAATGTCGAGTTGCCCATCATGCCCCTCAGTCGGGGACGATTGGTCACCTGTTCATCGGACACCATTGTTATCCAGAAGTACGTCTCTGCCCGCCCCAACGGCTAGTTTCAGGCAACCTTCCAAGATCCCTGGTTTTACGCCTATATTCCTGAGAGTCACATATTTTGGTATGGATCCAAAATCTAGCCCAAAATATGGACCAATGGCCTAGCGTTGAGAGCACTATAAAAACCCTCTCATTTGAGAGCGTCAGGTCATTCAATTATATCCCTAAGAAATACTTTAATGTATACGTACTTATACTGACTTTAGCATCAGGGTGCCTTGCATGTACACCCTCTTCTCCTTGATTCCAACATTGAAGTTGAAGTCTCTGGCCCACTTAAGGTTCTGATCAACCAGTAAGATCAATGGCGCCTTCTATGGGAAACATGTTCTCCTCATCTTTCTATCCTCAAAAACCAAAGATCAAAGCAGATAATCAAGATTCCACTCATGTCCAACTTTGACGACAATGATAATGCTCACAAACCCACCATATCTCGTGTCCACAAGACAAATGACTATGGAGGGATGCCCTTTCTTAAATATGCCATCCCATTGATGGACGGTCACACCGTCTCCCCACCCTCCAATGAGACTGAAGACGTCTAAGCTCACAAGATCAAGAAGGCTCAAGAAGGAGCACTGGAGAACATGCAGACAATCCCTACTTCACCCAATGCTGAACTTTATGTGGCTGCCTTGCTCGTAGCTCTCAACCAGACCAACTACCTAATCTGCCAAAAAAATGAGAGGATTGGGGCGTTGGAAAATGCTCGCCGGTCAAAGTCTCCCTCGCGGAGGCACCAACGACAAAGATTACACAACCTGTCTTCCTAACGACATGATCACCATCGGGGGCAAGAAAGAGCATGTATCTTGGCCATCAAGAGGACGCAATCAAACCCCTCCTTAGAGAGACCAGCTCTCCCCGGTGGCCAAGAAACTGAAGGGCATACCGAGAAGCCCATCTCCCCGTCAGAATAATACTCCTCGGCAAGGAAAGCATAATTTCCTATCACAACCATCTTTGGACCTGAGTGACGATGAAGATCCCCACTGTTTATTGTCTCAAGCGATTATGGGCGCTCCCCTCTCAGTGGGGCTTGAGAAGCCACCAAATATGGGACATATGGTAGGACAACTGATCTTGACGAGCACGTCGAGAACATTGATGCCCTGCTCGACTACTGTGGCATCGTGGGGTGCCATCAAGTGCAGACTGTTTCCAACAACTCCGAGAAAAGGGGCAATGTCTTGGTACAAAAGCCTCCCCGACGAATCCCTCACCTCATGGAAGAAGTTAGAGAATATGTTCTTAAGGAACTTCATTGCCTCTTGGCGTGATCCGAAGACATAGGCCTCGCTATAAGCGATCATACAAGGAAAAGAATAATCTCTACAAGCATACATCAAGAGGTTTAACAAATAAGCCGTTCAGGTCTCCACGACTGACGATATGAAAAAGTAATGGCTATAGCGAGAGTTGTGCCTCTGCAGCAATTTTTCCAAAGCAGTTAGCATAAGAACACCAGTCAAACTAGACACCCTTCTCCTTAAAGCCCAGACGTACATATAGTACAAGGAGAAAGTGACCGCCAATAATGCTCAACATCGCAGCAGAAATAACCTCACCCGCCTCCCCGACGAGCGGAGTGCATAAATAAACCATTTCCGCGAACACAACATCCGAGCAGGTTACGTTCCCCACAACACACCAGTTGAGCAGACATACGTTCCCCACAAACACAACAGTTGAGCAGGCATACGTTCCCTACGAACACACCATCCGAGCAGACATATGCTCCCCGCGAACACAACAGTCAAGCAGGCATACGTTCTCCGCAAACATACATTCCCTACGAAAGCAACACCCAATCAGACATATGTTCCCCGTGAATGAACACCCGAGCATACATCCTGTCGAAGCTCACGAGCACAAAGAAGAAAGGTGGAACAAGCCCGTCATCCAAGAGATACTATCACGTCCGAGCAAAAACAGAAATGGGGCACACTATCTCAAAAACCTACACGGGAAAGAACTTGCTTGACCATGAAACTTTGAAAAGCTAAAACAATATTCCAGCTAAGGCCATGAATAGTCGACGTGCTCTACCAAACAATAGACATCATGCACCCTGACTAAAATGCGTGCCCAGGTACAAGCACTGCATACCAAATAAAATATAAGACAAGTTTATGCTCTTGAATGATCAGATTCCTTTGTTCGACGGAAAACAACCCTGGTCGTTCGACTAGTTCCCCACACTTCCGAACATCGATACTATGGAGCAAACCCCCCAAACACTTAGCAAAAATAACTTGCAAAATAGCTCAAAACTACGAGCATACAAACAAATAGCTTAACAAAAGCAATAAAAGATAAAATCACACACGAGCATAAATGAACGCTCAGCACAAACACTAGTTGGAACTGTCGATCACGGTCCCATACACCGCTTCTTCCTCGTGAGTAAGCAACAAAGCTTTCGTGAGTAGAACATCACCTTCAAACACGCAAGCTCGCAGTCACGAAGCCTATGTGGCAAGGGTCGTCAACGACTGCACAAGTTTGCTAACCTCAGACCCCCAATGGAGGATCTCTTTGCAAGAGTTCCTCGCCACACGGGATGACTCTAAAGTCATTACTTCTATGACTAGAAGCAACGACTTAGAGGGCTTTTGTTCTGGACTAGACCAATGACTGGCCTACAATCAAGTACGACCCAATCCACTTCTGCGTCTAGGATAATTCAAGATCACTGGCTCAATCCATTGGGGCTAACAGAAGGCGCGTTCCCCACCTGCTCCTCGGCTGGGGACTTGTGGCCAGATGACCCCAAGGACAAGCCCTAGTTGACAACACCATTCCTGCCCTCAATGATATCTTTGCGTATGGCTGACCCACCATCAGGCACGACCCAAAAGTGTTGGTCCATTCCATTAGAGTCAGTGTGACACACACCTCCCATGTACCCCTCTCAAGAGGACACATGTCCATCTGATCCTGCACATCCTACTCTATTGACCGTGTCCGTCTCTGCCTATTGCAGCGGCTAGTTCACTCTATGTTCGCTACAACAACTAATTCACGATCTGCCCGTGGAAAGGGGGGGGCACATCCCCCAGGATGGCAAGCACAAGCTACTCATCCCTCCTTCCCATCCCTTCTGCTTCTTGACTGGTACGAGGGGCACTTCCTCCATGATGACGAGCACGAGCTGCCCAATCCACTCCTGCGCCCAGAACGACCCAAAATCTTTGGCCCAATCAGTTGGGACCAGCAAAGGGAAGCATTTTTCCCTCCCGGCCCTTTATCGAGGACATATCTTCACCAGACCAAAAGACCAATGAACTATCGATGTCCTCGATCAGGCCTCCACCTACGCAAATGTTGAGCTGTCCATCCTGCCCCTCATCCCGAGAGGATTGGTCACCTACTCGTTGGACACCATCGCTGTCTAGAAGTACGTCTCTTCCCGCCCAACGGCTAGTTTCAGGCAGCCTTCCAGGATCCCTGGTTTTACGCCTATACTCCTGGCAGTCACGTATTTTAGGTCTGGATCCCAAATCCATCCCAAAATATGGATCAATAACCAAGCACTGGGGACATTATAAAAACCCTCTCATTTGAGAGGGTCAGGTAATTCAATTATATCCCTAAGAAACACTTAAACGTATTTGTACTCCTACTGACTTTAGCGTTAGAGTGTCTTGCAGGTACATCCCATCCTCCTTAATTCTAACATTAAAGTTGAAGTCTCTAACCCACTTCAAATTCTGATCATCTGATAAAATTATTAGTGAATTGGACTTTCAATACATTTATAAGTAAAGAGTTGTGAGCAATTTTATAGAGAATAACATGAATATGAACTTGATCTTTTTCTATGCCGACCAAAGCTGGTCAAACAAAGAATATGAGTTAGTTGTATCATTATTTCTCTCACTAATGGAACTTATTAGTGGTTAAAATATGGCGCATTCTTGTTTACCATAATTTTGCCAATTCATGACCCGTTTCTTTCAAATACGTGCACAAATTTGTCAAAGTATAACAATTTTGACTACGATGGCTTTCTTCTTCAATATAATACATAATCCACTTTACAACTCTCAACTCCCCCCACATGATCATCAACTATTCAAAATTCAACTCATCACCCATCTCCACTACCTCACATGCAAATTTCATTATCATTATTATTATTATTATACAAAAACAACAATCATTTAAAACCATAATTACAACAACAACACCACAAATCTCGAAAATCAACCATCCAAAACAATGAACATTTTTCACAAATTCCCTCTTCTACTAACTCTATTCTTTCTCACATTACAAAAACCAGTTACATCAAAAAACGAATGCACTCACAAATGCGGCAATCTTCACATTCAATTCCCATTCCATCTCAAAAACAACACCAACCACACCAAACACTATCCTCAACACTTCCAATTATCATGCACAGATAAATATCAAACAGTTTTAGAATTTCCCACAATTCCACTCAAGCTTTTCATCAAACACATAGACTACCAAACACAAAAACTCCAAATCTACGACCCAAACAACTGTCTTTCAACTCAGTTATTCAAACTCGGAAACTCGTCCGTTTCGCCTTTCCAGTTTCACTTCCATGAGTTCAATATACATCGCAACGTTTCGTTCTTTCGCTGTGATTCGAGAAATGGATGTCTGATTAAGCAGCGTGATTCTGGTGCGGATTTTGTTGACCCTGAATTGGTTTCTTGTAGGAAAGTGAGTGATGTTTTGAATGTGGGTTGGATGATTGAGGAATGGGAGGGTGATGATGGTACAGAGAGTTTGATTATGGAGTGGTCTAAACCTAATTGTAGTTTTTGTGAAGTTCAAGGGAAGAAATGTAGATGGAAGAATGGTAATGGAAGTGCTGAAGTTGAATGTTTTGTTTGTTCATCAAATGGGATTGCTAGATCTACTGTTCTTCTAATTACTTCTGGTATGCAACATTCTTCAATCAATTTCTCTTCTGGTGTCATCTGGTATCATCTTTCTCTTTGGGCCTTGGAATGGCCCAGAACAATATGAAAACAGGACTAACTTGAAAATTAGGATAAGAAAAGTAATTTTGAGTTATATATGTCACATAGTTATGATGAACAGAGGTTATACTTGATAATAATATGTTATGTGTGTGACATGATTTTCATGAACAGGGGTAATAGTTGGTTCCATGATTTTGCTGCTATTGGTAAATGGATTGCTTCGCGTTTATCGCTATTTTAAGATGAAAGAAGATGACATAGCAAGGATAGAGAAGTTCTTAGAGGATTATAGAGCAATGAAACCTACAAGATTCAGTTATGCTGATATTAAAAGAATTACGAATGGTTTTAAGGAGAGTTTAGGAGAAGGAGCTCATGGAGCAGTATTTAAAGGCATGCTCTCCCAAGAAATTTTGGTTGCTGTGAAGGTACTCAATGAAACACAAGGAGATGGAAAAGATTTCATTAATGAAGTTGGAACCATGGGAAAAATTCATCATATCAACGTTGTTCGCTTGCTTGGATTTTGTGCCGATGGATTCCACCGTGCGCTTGTCTACGATTTCTTTCCAAATGGGTCGTTGCAAAATTTCTTGGCACCACCGGAGAACAGGGATGTTTTTCTCGGTTTGGAAAAGTTGCAACAAATTGCTCTTGGTGTTGCAAAAGGGATCGAGTATCTTCACATTGGTTGTGATCATAGAATACTTCACTTTGATATCAATCCACACAATGTGTTATTAGATGATAATCTGAGTCCCAAAATTACTGATTTTGGACTTGCGAAATTGTGTCCGAAAAATCAAAGCACCGTGTCTATGACCGCAGCTAGAGGAACTTTGGGCTATATTGCACCTGAAGTTTTCTCAAGAAACTTTGGAAGCGTGTCTTATAAGTCTGACATTTATAGCTATGGAATGTTGTTGCTTGAGATGGTTGGTGGAAGAAAGAATGCTAATGTGTCTGCGGAGGAAACATTCCAAGTTTTGTATCCGGAATGGATCCATAATCTGATTGAAGGAAAAGATGTACAAGTGAATATTGAGGATGAAGGAGAAGTTAAAATTGCAAAGAAACTTGCGCTCGTAGGACTTTGGTGTATTCAATGGAATCCGGTGGATCGTCCGTCTATGAAAACTGTGGTACAAATGCTTGAAGGGAAAGGAGAAAAATTAATGGTACCCCCTACTCCTTTTGACTCTATTGATGTCAATAGAACAAACGCGGTTATTCCAACCCGACATATGAGTGTTGAGTTAGAAGTTATTCCTGAAATAGAGTAACTTTCAGGTTTACCAAATGTGATATATACTCTACTGTACAGTTTCTTGGCTACAACAATTTGTACAGCATTCTGTTATTTTTGTTACATTAATTACTGTCCATAATTGATTTATCTGAATTCTGCCATGACAGCTATTTGTTCAGGACTTGTATTCATAGCCTATGCAACATAGTTCCTCTTGCCAAAGTTCTTTCTTAAGACATATAAAAAAATAGCGATAAAAGTGGAGGGGGTTTACCCAAAGTTCCTCTTACTAAAGATATATTCAAATATGTTTTACTGATTTTTTATTTATAAATCGGGTATATGGAGAAGACTATAATAAACTGTAAAACTTTTTTTTGAAAATTTTTAATACTACACTGAATTCAATTTTTTTTTGTATAAAATCCCTTATCATCTCGTCCAAACGCTCCTATTAAAATTAGCCGTAATATATAACCAAAATTTCAATAACACTAGGTGTCAAGGGTGTTTAAATCGGACCGAACTAAGGTAAATTAAAATTGCAAATTCATTAAAGAAAATAAACAAAATAGAATATTATGACTTTATATGTCTTTTATAAAAAACGTTTGGATTGGATTTTAAATTTATCTTTTTTAAATCGTACTAATTCTAATAAATATATTCTAATATTTAATTTTTTTATTATCAACAACTTAATATATTATTTATTTGTTTTGGACTCTTTTTAATGTTTAGTCTAATTTAGTCTATACTTTTTTTTAATTATTTATAAGTGTGAAATATTATTTATCATTTTCATTAAAGAGTTAATTTTTAATATACTATATTTTATACTTTAGATTGTGTCTTTAATGTTAATATTAATAAAAAAGATTATATTTTATAGTTTGAAAATCGAAAAATTGAGTAAAAAACTGTTAAATCGAATTGAAATTAGTAATTTACAATCAAATGAAGATGCATGTAATTTTATCTTGTGATGTGATTTTATCGTTTGATTTGATTCATTTTTACAATAAAGTCAATTCAAATCAATTTCACTTATCCCTGAGCGTGACTTGATCTGAATATTAAATATTATTTTACATCGATCAAAAGTCAAGTAAAAAGATCCATTATTTTAAAGAAAGACCAACAACTATTTGACTCAAATGTATATATTTTTTTACGTGCGTAAGATTTAAGGTACACATGCTTTTCATACTTCACTCTACTCTTTTTTGGACTTATTCACTAAATTGAGCGTTAAAGTGTTAATTTTGCAGGTCCATCCACGTGTTCAACCGCATCGAAAACTTGTAGCACTACATCAGAAGCCCATCATCTTAATTCATACATAATTCTAATTCCAATCCAGAATAGTGGTACTGTCTACATGAATTGACTATTGATTCTTGCGAAATTCCACAATCAGATGCAATTTGATCCAAATCTGTACCACCGAAGTGATGTCTTGCCATGAAAAATGTAACTCTCAATTTTGACCTCTAGAACTTCTTCAAACAACATGACTTAGTGATATCGCCAATTTCTGTGGTCGATGAGATGAGAGATGTATCGTCGAGGCAAAAAGATCTTCTCATGCTGGACTAATCCCAATACGTGATACATATCAAAGAACGAGGATATGATAGGTCAATGTTAGACTTTGGTGACCATGAGAAGGTAAATGTAATCCCCAATGCTATGTTAATGTTAGTCATAACTGCCATTATAGCAAACCATTTAGTATTAGGCCTCTTAATCGATGATGGAAACACACACAACTTAAAGTACTCAGATATATATATATATATATATATATATATATATATATATATATATATATATATATATATATATATATATATATATATATATATATATATATATATATATATATATATATATATATATATATATATATATGCAAGATCTAAAAAACCATGCAAAGACATGTGCCTTATAGCATTCAACGATTCCACTACTCGATCATGCAGAGGCATGGACATGGCAATTTTGCTTGGTGCATAGACAAGAGAAGCATAAATGTACACTTATCAGTAGTTCCTTATGAAATCATTTTCAATAGCATTCTAGTGAGGCATTTCCTAGCAGCATTGGACACGGTGGCCTTTGTAACAATCTCTAAAACTCCGCAGAATAATACCATATAAATCTGAATAAAATTAGTCACGCTTCTCAAAACAAGGGTGTCATATATAATCCATACATAACAAACACATGTCATGCTCAATAACACTAATTTAAATTCATGTTTTTCATATTACTTTCACATAAGCATGTAGTAGCGGAATCACTTTCATTTAATTGAATATAATAGTCAAGTCTTCAAATAAAATTCATTCATTTAATCATCTTAGGCATAAAAGCCACTTCAATACATAATTTAAATAACGATAATAAAGTAAAGTAGAGTAAATAAAGTATCTCTCCAAAAACAAGAATCTTAATGTTCCCAGTGTTACATGACCAGAACACGACTCAACCCAAAATAAATAAGGAAATAAAGTAAAGATAGCTTCTTCAGCTTCACTCTTGCCAAAGTAACTCAAATCTTCAGTACCTGGGCGATGTCGTATAAAACATTATTCTAACAGAAGGGTGAGAATTCACAAAATTATCGAAATTGCATAATAATACATAATGTATAACATACATGCATATAGATAAATGTTCGCACACTTCAAATGCTTTATAGACATGACATCGCCCAATTATCATACTATTCATAAGTATATACAATCACAATCCACAATTTTGCAAACACATCAACTTCACACAATACACACAACTCCATATTGCAAACATAGACACAATATGACTCAATGAAACGCAAATGCGACGCTCATGTATGTGGTATCAATCTCTTATTATTTTTATTCGATTTTACTTTAAATCAGGTCTGTCCTCTAGACCAATATAACACCAAAAGCCCATTCTCCAAGCTTTCAAACCTCTCTCTAGGTTTGGGAGAAGTTACTAGCTCCCTCAGAACTAACAAACATGCCTCTTGACAACTAATTATGTATGAGTAATTACAACAACCATATGCAAATTAAGACCATTCTATAATCTTAACATCATTCATATCTTTAACAATTCATTACATTTGAATTACCATACACTTGCTTATACAACACATACTCATTGTTGTACCCCAAAATTTTCCCTCCCATATTTCTCAAGACATGTCAAGAGGAATCTCCAAATGGCTCAAGGTTGCTCAAGAGTTGGACAGTCAAGTCATCTCCTAAGGCAGTCAACCTCAAAATTAGGGTTTTGTGTTGCATCAAGGTCCTTACATCCAAATGACCTCAAATTCTCCCTAATGTCCTAATATGTTCTCAAGTTCATCCATGTCAAATTTCAAGCCTTGCAGAGGAAGTTTGGTCAGTCAATTGCTCAAGAGGTCCAAATATCGACTGTGCTAGGGCAAAAGTCAACTGTGACCTACAAATAGTCAAACCTCAAGATTTTTTGTCAACATTCTCATTTTTAAGGATAATTCATCATTTGATCAAGGGTTGATCATGATTCATCAAGGATTTCTCAAAATTCATCAAGATTCAAAAGTTGCTAAATTAGGGTTTTGTAGGAAAAGTCAACTCAACTTTGACCAAGCATAAATTTCTCATACTTTATGCGAAATGACCCATCCAAAGCTCATTTTGAAGAGGATGCAATTTACTATAATCCATCTTCACACCCCAAGATCAAGAAATGAACTCACAAGAAGTTACAAATTTGGACATTATAGGTCATTTTTGAAAGTCAACAAAAACACCTTTTTTTTCCCAAAGCTTATAACTTGAGCATGGAATATCAAAATGAGATGATACCAAAAGGTTTGGTTAGAGGACATCTCAAGGTTTCTAAAAAGTCCAAGAACACCTGCAAAAGTTCAAAATTGAAGAAGTTATGCATTGTTGAATTTGGGCAATTTTTCCAAAATTGTCAAAAGTCAACTATCCCCAAAACTTCAAATTTTGTCAAATGGGCCCACTTTTTTCCACTTGATTTGATCTTGTCACACTACACACGTGTCCTATCTTCAGTATTGTGCCCAATTATTAATTTTTCTATTTTATTTGATTTTTATTGAATTAATTCATTTTTAATCAATTTAAATCCAAATAAAATCTAAATATTGATAACTTTGTATCTTTTTGATTGATATAGGTCTTAAATATCATCATGTACACAATCAAATCTGAATCAAGCCATATCATGAACAAAAAGATGGAATTTGGACATTTTTGGAAGCTTTTTAATGGTGAATCAAATCACATCTTCAATCATCAATGCCTAAGGATTCAAAGCCCAAAACTTGACCTAATTGACTCCATGATACTTATACAACACAAAGGCATGGAAATCAGAACGAAGAGGCTGCAAAAATCAGAAGAACACAACTTGAAAAAAGCTTGAAAAAGTGTGGAATCAAAATCATCTTGGAGACGTTTTCAAAGCCAAAACTCAACGTGGTTCTCTTGCTAGCCATCCATTGAATCTATTGGAATCAAAAGCAAGCCCTGAAACCTCCTAAATCGCGCTGTAAGTTTCCTTGAACACCGCCCTGTACATGAAAACGCATCCTTGGATTCTTGCATCTTTTTGATAAATTATGGACATATTCTTGATCTTGCAATGATTTCCAAGCTATCTGCAATTTTGATTTTGTTTTTGTAGCCTGTAACACCATACCCGAAACTAGGGTTTGTATTTCTTGTTTTTAGGCGTTTCAGTTTCAGGCACAATTAATGCAAACCATGGACATGGGTGTGATTAGGCAAAGGAGACGATCATGGCTGTGGTTTTAGTTTGCGTTTTCATGGCCTAGAGAAGGTTTTAGGAGAAGCCTATGGATTTAGCTGCGGATAAGAATCCGCAGGTAAATAACCAGGTTCAACGAAGAAGACGCTGACGCGTCTCCCTCCCATTGGTTGTTTCAAAATTTTGCGCTTTTATTTTTATAATTCTGGCATTTGTTGATTTTTCCAATATAATGTTTAATGCTTATTCCAC